TGATTGTTTCTTTTCTGCTCCCCACAAAAGGCCTGATGCAAAACTCACTGGAGCTGGTGGAGAGGCTCACAGAGATGTAAGGGGCTTTGGCTCAAGCCCAAACACACCAGCCAGGAATAATGCTGAGAATGTATCTGGAGCTGCGATAATACAAAGGGACTAATCCTAGTCACCTTCCTTTAACAGCAGGCTCCGTGTGATTTGAATTGGCTAGCTTCTGCCATGAATTAAGCACAAAACCCTAAAGGCAGCTCCAGTCATCTAGCCTTGCAGTCTCCTCCAAACTTAATCCAGAGGGAAAATTGACTAATCCTATTCAGTTGCTACCCTGAGCTAGTGCCATGGATTAAAAAGGAAAAAAAAAAAGGGGGGGGGGGGGATGCACAGTGAAACTGAATAATCTGGGTCAGTTTGTCTTTGCAAGTCCTTTGCAGAACTTCACCAAAAATAGGAGATGGTGGGGAAGTCTGGTGAGAAGGAAAGGTTATTTGCTAAAGTGAACAGAAAAGAAAAGAAAAGAAAAGAAAAGAAAAGAAAAGAAAAGAAAAGAAAAGAAAAGAAAAGAAAAGAAAAGAAAAGAAAAGAAGAAAAAAAAGATTTTTTTTTTAAAAGGCAGAAGGAGATCAGTGAGGTTCTGTCAAAATTCTCAAGATGGAAATGGAAAGAGCTGGTCTTCCTAGTCTTCCCTTTTCATTCGAGTAAGGACCATGTTCTTGACTCTTTTCCAGTTTTTTGGTGTCCATGTAGGACTGAGAGGACAATCGCAGGCAGCAGCAAGACAAGCTGCAAAATCCCTTCTGGGTAGTGCATGGCACAGAACTTGGCTTCTTGTCTACTTTTCTCTCCAAGGCTTTAGAGTCAAGGCTGGAATGGGAGAAGGGCGCATTGCCTCATCAAAGGTGAATCATAAGAGTGGAGTTGCCACTGTAACAGCTGCTCAAGTAATAGCATTAGTAGGTGCTTTCAGGTACTGCATTTTTGGGTAGGCTTCAAAATAAATAACCACTAGTGCTGGCTTACTACATTGACCAGGGTTTACCAAGGATTATGTGGTGCAAGAAAACAATATGGTATGGAAAATGAAAGGTATGAATAAACCCCTAGCAAGGTTAATAACATAAAAAAAAAAGGAAAAAAATGTGTGTGGGATTTTGTAACAACCCTTGAATATTCTCTGCCCTCTAATACAGAAGGGGAGGGCTTTCATTATTGATCCGTTGTCTCATTTGACTTTGGTGCATGTTTCCTGCGATGACAAGAAAGGGCTGGAGGTTTGTTCTAAGTTAAAGTGAAGATTGTCTGGTTTTGAAAAGTTGYTCCATGAGCAGTGAACTTTGCGAAATCCGATCACCTGCTTCGTGTCCTCTTGTCTCCTGCATTCAGTGCTTGGCATGCAATGTTGTACTCACAGCTCCATCCTCCGCTATCCTCATGGGCCAGCTCGGGAAATGCTGACAGACCAGCTCATTGCCCTTGGATATGAAGTAGCCAAATTCTCCCCACACACATACACCCCTGTCAGTGGGAAGCAGTGAATGATCCAGATCTCCATCCTTTACCTAAGTGTAGGTTTTAATACAATTTGTTTGCCTTTGAAGCCTTTGTTAATGGCAGACATGCCAAAGCTTCAAAGTTCCCCAGGAGGTGACCACATCTTCCAAAGCTTTATTCCCACAGTTCAAAATACAAAGATGGATCCTGCTAGCAAGCTGCTTCCACGGGCCCATTCACCAAGGCCTAGTACCTGCTACCACAGGTAACAAAGATTGAAGAGGAAGGGCAGCAAATAAATCAATGAATAAATACGTGAAACATGAAATTGTAGTGGAATTTGTTCTTTTGTCAGAAAGGACTCTTGCAATATCATTGATGTATCCTTCCCATGTCCCGTGCTACTCAGCTACTCCGGAGACCTGGCAGCAAGTCTGGGGGGAGTGTAGGATGCTTTGGGACTAAGCCATGTGAAATGAGGTAGCGCTGAGCATAGAGGCAAAGGGAAAAGGGAGAAGACCAACACACGCAGTGTAGCAAGGAAAGGGTGGGAGGGCGACACAAGGAAGTTCTGTCCCTGCACTGGCATTGTCCCGTGAAAGCCTGAGCTGGGAAGCTGCTGGGTTTGCAACTYGAGTAGTCAGCGCCTGGCTTCCTGCCTCCTTCCCTGCTCGGAGCAGATGTGTCCCTTGGCTGCTGGGGAGGTGTCCCCTGTCCCTCTGTCCCTTGCTGCTCCTGCAGGCTACACTTGTATCATTCAGCCCCTGGGGCTCCTCAAGCGCGAGGGTGGTGAGGTGCGTTGTGGWGATAACCACTTTTTTTGAGCCCACGGACCATCTCTGAGGTCTCCCAGCAGAAGGATCGGTGACAAACGTCCTCATGCGTTGCCACAGTGCATGGCAGGGATAGTTCATTGTATTTTCGGCCACTTGAAGGTATTGGATAACCTGATCACTGAATCTCTCGAAACGAGGGCATGGAGCCAAATTTATCCTGAGCTAAGTCAATGGTAATGGTCCATTCCTACTGTCCCTTCAGGAGCAGGTCCAGCACCTCGATTAAGAGCTATGCCCACCTACAAGGACTACTGGGAACRGTGACCGAGGGTAGTGACCTTCTGAACACGGGGCGGGTGTGCTGGGTCACTCTTGCCATATCACTTCTTTTAATTTTATTTTTTTCTGCTTGGTGGGCAGAGCATGTGCAAGATTTGGGGGGGAAGGGAAGGAAGAGTAAAAAGCCTCRAAAATCCAGTACCATAGCACTCCATGCAGTGCCTGTCATGCAAACGGGGTCCCCATCGGTGGGGTTAAAAAAATAAATAAATAATGGAAAAAAAAAACCCCAAACACTTCCAGCTTGGGAAAACGGAGGCAGCTTCCAGCCCCTCGGCTCTGCGGCGGCCGCCGAGCCGCGAAGCCCAGGATTTCGCTTTCTCCCCCAGCAGGCGCTGATGACGTCACGAGGCGCCCCTTCTTTGTGTGTCAGTGATGTCACCGGGTGCAGCGTGGGGGACAATGGAATCCTGAACTCCGGGCGAAGCCAAGTGGGAAGCGGCGGCTCCCGCTGTTGACGCGGGGCTGATCCAGGGGCAGGGGAAGAGCGGCCGGCGGGGCTGGAACAGGTGAGAGGCGGGGAAGCTGCTGGGGGGGCGCGGGGGGAACCCCCCTTTTGGGGCTTGTGGCGGGCGCTTCGGGCTGGGCTTTTTT